CGAAGCCTCTTGGATGAGGGGCGAAACGTTTCTTTTTAACAAAAAAATGAAGTCCAGATGACATGATTCAACCTTTTTTGTTGTAGTTTATGATACAACATTTTTCAGTCAGGTCATCTGGACAGTTTCTTTTTTTTTTGTGCTGAAATGTTTCGCCTTCGGTCCGGAAGGCTTCTTCAGTCTACCTCCCAATACTTCCTGGTTCTGATAATAAAAAAACAGAGGGATGAGACCATTCTTGACCTGTTCATGTTCAGCAATTCAATCATGGGGAGACAATTCCACATGCTGACAAACAGCTGCTGGAGAACTTCACCAGAACGACTGGTTTTCAGCTCCATAGATCTGAAGAGCGCATAATTCACATTTCCATCATTCTGAAACATGCGTGGAGACGGCTCTGCAGTCGTTACACATGGCAGGAATGAGAATTTTTTTTATCTGGACAATCTGCTCTTATTAGCTCAGTCCAGTTAGAAAGCAGTCGCACAGACCAAAGCGCTAGTGTTACACTTGCTAAACCTGGGGTTTATATAAACTGGGAAAAAGTTCTGTTCTTCCATCCCAGATGATTGTTTATCTGGAAGTGGAGCTAAACTCAACTACAATGAGAGCCCGTTTATCACAGCTGAGAGCCGAAGCTCTATCAGCTCAGCTCCGCCGTGTCAAACCCTGCAGCGTAGTGACAGTTCTGCCTGTCATGCGACACCTGGGACAATATCAGTGGCCCACATCATGGTTCCGCTGGGCCTACTTCACATGAGACGCCTTCAGAGATGGTTCGCCCGCCTGCGCATAGATCCTGTGCACCAGAAGAAGTGGATTATCTTTGTGCCCCCCTCCGTGAGAACCGATCTGAATCACTGGGGAAACCCCCTCATTCTGTCAGAGGGAGTTCCCATCAGCAGGCCTATGTCACACGTCTCAGTCTTTTCACAGACACGTTCCTGTCAAGCTGGGAGGAATGTGTCTGTCCCAGGCAGTGGGAGCACAGGGGCTGGACCACATGTCGCTTCACATAAATGTGCTAGAATGTTTTCACAGTCTGAAACATGACTCATCATTTTGCCCTCCTGCTGCGGGATCAGCATGTTCTGATCCACACAGACAACAAGTGACGGCAGCTTACATAAACCGTTAGGGAGGCGTGTGCTCAGCCTAACTGTTACGCATCGCGAAACAGCTGTTGTGTTGGGCACACAAAAACCTGCTCTCCAGTGTACATTCCCAGCGGCCTGAACAGGTGAGCGGATATCATGTCGAGGGGCGGTCCCCGCCACAGATACTGGGCCCCCCATCCCGAGCTGATCTCTCGGATTTGGAACAGGTTCGGCTGAGCACCAGTGGATCTGTCCGCCACACAGGAGAACGCCCAGTGTCATTTATGGTTCTCACTGAGCCCACGAGATGACCCACCATTAGGAGTGGACACCTTCGCTCACAGCCCGTGGCCAAAAATGCTCCTTTATGCGCTTATATCAAAGTGGACATCTTTTCAGTGCTGGTGCACGGAGAAAGGTCTAGAGGCCATCTCATGTCCACTAGGTGGCATGCTGCCCTTTCTGCAGCAGCTGATGGACAGAAATCTAACGTTCAGCACAATTAAGACTTATGCTGCAGCTATTTCTTCCTGTCACGAGGGCTTCTGTGACAGAACAGTTTTTAATCACCCGTTGATGAAGCGTTTCCTGACAGGTGTACAGAGACACAGACCGGTGTCGCGTCCACTAGCTACACAGTGAGACGTAATGATGGTCCTTCACGCTCTGATCAAAGCTCATTCTGAGCTTTTAGATCAGGTTTCACTTAAATTCTGTCATTAAAACAGCCCTGCTGTTAGTTCTGACGTCGGCAAAGAGAATGAGTGTTTGTTTGCTCTCTCTGTTGCTCCCTCATGTCGCAGAATTCAAGATGACGGCAGTTCAGCTATACTGCATTTTAACCCTGCTCTGAAAAACATCACAAGCTCATTCAGATCGAGAGTGATAACCTTGGATGGGTTTTTATCCTCTTCCTCCTAATTCTGAGGAGGAAGCAACATCTCACCTCCTTCTGTCCCATGCGCACATTTTTCATGTCACGTGGCGCACACGGTCGCACTGTGCCATTTTCAGCGTATGTTTGTGCATTACCGGGACAGCTCTTCAGGACGTCCTCTATCCACCCAGCGCCTCTCACACTGGTTGTGTGAGGCTATTTCTGAAGTTTACAGTTCATCTGGACTGGATCCTCCACAGAATCTCAGCACATTCCACCAGAGGGTTTTCATCCTCCATGGCTCTGCATGGAGGGATGACAGTGGAGAATATTTGTATGGCGGCTGCCTGGTCATCGCCATATTCAATTATTCGTTTTTATCTACGTGATGTTTCTACTTTCTCCATGACCCATTCTGTTCTCAGGGTTCTGTCAGAATGATTATTTGTTTCATGGAGCCTCACTTTTGAGTTCACACCTGCCTGCATGCAGTCACAGTGTGATATATTTATTATCAGTCACAAGTTCATGACTGCTGATTTTATCGTTATTAATCGGTTCACCCTGAGGAGCTGTTGGTCTGCTCTGTTCATAGTTACACTGTTACAATTCGTATCCTTCATTGTTCCTATTTACAGCAGCAGGTCTGCTATCTCAGCCTTTTTTTCCTCACCAGAGATTTTTTTTTCTCCAGTGCGCTCCTGTGCATGGAGCACGCAATTACACAGCACGTAATTATGCACACAGAAGGCTGAGTGATGAAATGGTTTTTTTTTTGTTTTTGTGCAAGCAGGTGCTTCATGTTGTGTCTGAATGGACCCAGTGAGGCATAGACTACATCTTGCTTCGCCTTTAACCCAATAGCGAGAAGTCTTAAAGGGCGAAGCCTATACGAAATAGAATGTTGGTTACGTACTGTAACCCCAGATTCTGTGAGTATAGGCACAGCCCTTTAAGCTCTGGGCCTCACTGGTTCCTAAATGGCTGAAGAAAAAAAGCTATTTGGGAGCTGATTACCCGGTCTCACCGTAATTTATGGACCGGAGGTGAGGCCCACAGAACAGGTGGGCGTGGACTAAAGTTTTCAGTGCTGCACTGCACGCGAAGGGATAAACCCACTAGCGATAGCCTTAAAGGGCTGCACTATACGCACAGAATCTGGGGTTACAGTACATAACCAACGTTCAAGATCATTAACTGTTGCAAAGTCACACAAATGTAGCTTAAATCTGTCCCAGACTGTATATACACTCAAACACTGTAATTCTTGAGGTATTTACAATCTTTTTAGAGAGACGAAATATAACTGTTTTATATGCCAGTTGTCTCTGATTTAAGATGACACCTCCTCCACACACTAAATCTTTTTGCAGTTTGATCAGCATCAAAGTCTGTGGGCGGCTGTGGCTGAGTGGTTCGAGCAGTCGTCCTCCAATGCAAGAGTTGGTGGTTCGAACCCCACAGCAGTCACATGCCGAAGTGTCCCTGGGCAAGACACTGAACCCCTCATTGCCTCTGATGTGAGTCCCATCAGTGTATGAATGTGATAAAGCTCTGATTAGTCTCTTTAGAATGATTTGTTCAATCAGCTTTGTGGAGATCTACTAGAGTGCTGTATGAATGGGTA